TAACGTGGCAAGAAAAAAAATCTACATATAAATAAAATAAAAAAGAAAACCCATTCGCCTGCTCGCCCTCCACATTCAAAGCACCAAAAAATTTCAGCGTGGCCAACCCCAACACAACCTCCCCAGTAAACCCAAACCCAAACCAAACGCACCAACCCACCATTCCCACCTACCCCCGCTCCGCTCCCCTCTCACCTACTCTTCCACCGTCAAATCTAACGTCCCTCCGTCAGCCCGTCTCCGCTATAAATACCATCCGCTCCCCCGCTTCATCCTCCTCATTAACCGAAACCCCAACCCGATCGAGAAGCGCGACGAAAGCCCAATGGACCTCCTCCTCCTCGAAAAGGCCCTACTGGGCCTCTTCGCCGCCATCGTCCTCAGCATCACCGTCTCCAAGCTCCGTGGCAAGAAGTTCAAGCTCCCCCCGGGCCCGCTCCCCGTCCCCATCTTCGGCAACTGGCTCCAGGTCGGCGACGATCTCAACCACCGCAACCTCACGGCCTCGCCAAGAAGTTCGGAGACATCCTCCTGCTAAGAATGGGCCAGCGAAACTTGGTGGTCGTGTCCTCCCCGGACCTCGCCCGCGATGTGCTCCACACGCACGGCGTCGAGTTCGGGTCCCGCACCCGCAACGTCGTGTTCGACATCTTCACCGGGAAGGGCCAGGACATGGTGTTCACCGTCTACGGCGAGCACTGGCGCAAGATGCGAAGAATCATGACCGTCCCCTTCTTCACCAACAAGGTCGTGAACCAGTACCGGTTCGGATGGGAAGACGAAGCGGGTCGGGTCGTGGAGGATGTTAAGAAGGACCCGAGAGCCGCGAGCGAGGGGATTGTGCTCAGGAGGAGGCTGCAGCTGATGATGTACAACAACATGTACAGGATTATGTTTGATACGAGATTTGAGAGCGAGGAGGATCCTCTGTTTGTGAAGCTCAAGGCTCTGAATGGGGAGAGGAGTAGGCTTGCTCAGAGTTTCGAGTACAATTACGGGGACTTTATTCCCATTTTGAGGCCGTTTTTGAATGGGTACTTGAGGATTTGCAAGGAGGTGAAAGAGAGGAGGTTGAAGCTGTTCAAGGATTTCTTCGTTGAGGAGAGGAAGTAAGTTTTTTTTTAATTCATTAATTTCTAAATTTAGCTTTTGACCTTTTATTTCGGATTTGGATCCTCTTCACTACAAAAAAGTAGTGGAGAGATCACTGCTTTTAATCTCAATCTTAGATTATTTAGTAAGCGGTTATGATACAATCTAAATCTAACACTTACCATACCCCCATGTATTGCACTCATTCCTAATTTACACTAAAAGAAAAAATCACAACCATTAATTAGATAATCAATGGCCTTTTATTTCCTGCTCTTTCTCTCAACCCATGCACTTTCTATAACTAACAATCCGTGGATGCTGAACGCTAATGAACTACGTTCGTTTGCTCTAGATGAAGGGGTTATGTGTAATTTGCCAAAAAGAAAAAGGTTTTGTTAGTCTCACCCTTTCTGGGTTCTACACAGAAAGCACAACGGATAAGACTAGGAATCTGTTAGCTTTGTGATCGATACTATTACTTGCAGAAGGGAATGATGGAAATGGATTAATACTTATGTTTAGACTCAAATTATGGGTTTGGAGATAAAAAGGAAATGTTTGTTTTAAGCCTCCAAAATAATTAACATTAGATATGTACTAACGCGGTGTGTGTCTGCACTATTTGGGTCTATTTTTTTGTTGCGATATCAATGATACTAATTCAAATGAACTTGAAATAGGAAATTGGCGAGCACGAAACCAACCGATAACGCTGGCCTAAAGTGTGCGATTGATCACATATTGGATGCCGAAAAGAAAGGGGAAATTAATGAGGACAATGTTCTTTACATTGTGGAGAACATTAATGTTGCAGGTATATTTCTATATCAACCTCCTACTTTTGCCTGCCTTTATTTTCTTTTCTTAGTTTGGTTAGTATTAGGTCAGGAATATGACGCCCAATTTATCAAAATTGGGTATATGAATGTCAGACTTTTGTGCAACATATATAGGAGCTTGTGTGCTTGGATATTAACCACAATTCTTATTGGATTTAACTTGGTGGGAATTGATTAAAATCAAAACTGTTTAATTAGTTTGTAGTTAACCTTTTCTATTTGTCTACTCCCAACCTTTTTTTCAACCGTGTCCGTGTCAACTCTACACTCCCTGTTTTCTTGGCCGGCAATGAGCATTTTGCTTGATAAACTTCCATTGAACATAAACAAAAAGGGAACTAATCACCGTACTTCACTAATTTTAAGGACTCGTCTTGTTCGCGAAAATGATATGTTCATTACATCAAGGTAATCATATACAATGCATTCCTAAACTTGCTACTCTCAGGTATTATCTGGTGGTGAGTATGCGGTTATTAGGAGATTCTTCAAGGAAATACTATGGTTCTATCGGGTAAATACAGAATAAGCATCCAAACAATACAGGTTTAGATATTCAACATGTTATTAGCTTTCGGGTTGCTCTTTACCTCTGAGATACCCAACATCTACCTTTGAAATTGAAGCTAAATAGCATCGAGAGAAGCATATCACATATAAAATATGTTGGATAAATCGAACTCTAGTAAATAAAAAGATCATCAACGGAAAGTCTAGTCTACTGAACATAATGTCAGAGGAATCTAAATTAGCGGAAATAGTCAGTTTGAGCCTTGAGCATCTGTTTTTGTTTACGAATAAACCCTAAATTAGACGACGACAACTAATTGGTTGGGACTGCTCGTTCCGAATAATGAAAAACTTCAGGTTAAAGTTACAATCCACTGTGATTGAAGCAAGTAGCCTATCAATCAGGTTAATAAGACATTTTAATGGCTTTGCTTTTGTTATAGAATTGGTAGATAAACTTTTCATTTCCCTTCATTGCCCTCCACTCGATTGTTTGTGGTTCCCAAATTACCCAAAATTGACCCGACAGTTGAATGCTGGAACCGGTACAACACGATTCCAGATCGCGTGGTCCATGGACCGTTTGTTGAGTCTATCATTTATAAGTGTATGATGTGGTCACCCAAGTGCCTCATCTAAATCTTTGCAACTTGCATTGTTCTACTTTGGGGTTCTACGTGAAGATCATGAAGCAGGAATTGTCTCCTGGGGGTTGTTAGTGGTGGAATTTATGACTCTTTATTTCTTAGCCACATGGGTAGCAGTACAAACTATGGTGCATCTATACAGAATCTCCTTTCTATCCGTCCTCTCCCAAAAAATTTAGTTAGCCAATGTGTAGCATGTATGTTAGTTGTGCTCACTGCTGGATACACGTTATGGTGGTAGTTGTGGTAGGTTGTGCTCTTTCTACACCTAAAAGTTACGGCTTTTATGTACAAGTGGGTCAAACAATTTATTCATGTCTCCAACTTAGAAGTAATTAGCAAGATATCATTATCTTAAACAAAACTTATAGAACTCGAGCTCTTGCTAGACTAATGGAATTCTGACATGTTGGCACATAAATTCAAATGCATCGATGGCTTTTATATATTTGAGATTTCTAAGGATGGCCAGTCACCAGCGTGATTATTCTAGCGTCAAGTTAAAGAAAACAATTTTTTTTTTATATTTCTTTGTCCAAGTTGCCTAGGGAAAACTTTGGCTGTTGGTTCAGCCATCTCTATCTGTTCTCGATTACAGACATAAAAGAATTAGCAAAAGCAACAATCATGTTCATTCAACAACCATAAACAAATATGGTTAAAGTGGACAATCTCTAGCCTACCAACTATAGACTAATGGTAAAGTTAACAATCTTTAAACACGCCAACCATTTCATTTCATGCACTCCTAATCTCCAAGATTAGTCACCTAGTAAAGTAAATATGAAGCAAACCTAGGAGAATTTTCTTTCCCCATCCTGACTTTGCTGCATGATGTATCTAGGCTATCATAATAACTGACACTATTATTGCCATCTCTTAGGTAACATCTTCTAATATTAAAATCAAGTTCATGATCTATATAGCAATTAAAACTCCGAAAGGTTACAAACCTTTCCATCTTAATGATATAGATAGTACTGTCAGAAATAATTATGCTGAAAAGTGTAGCTTGTTAAATTGAATGATGCCCCTACCACTCCCACATGCGCCTATGAGTTGGAGTCCACGAATGACTGAGTGCTCAAGTTGTGACTTAATAGTTTATACCATACCGAGACATAGCTTGAACCTAATTTAATGCAATTCAAAAATAAAAATTAGAAGACTTTTGAACGGAAACCCGCACCGAATTTTTGAACATTGAACTGAATTAAACTACTATTGCAGCTATTGAGACAACGCTGTGGTCCATCGAATGGGGCATTGCCGAACTCGTGAACCATCCCGAAATCCAACAAAAGCTCCGCAACGAGCTCGACACAGTGCTGGGCCCTGGTGTCCAGATCACCGAGCCTGACACCCACCGCCTCCCCTACCTCCAAGCCGTGATCAAAGAAACCCTCCGCCTTCGCATGGCCATCCCCCTCCTAGTCCCCCACATGAACCTCTACGATGCCAAGCTCGGAGGGTATGACATTCCTGCCGAGAGCAAGATCCTCGTCAATGCCTGGTGGCTCGCCAACAACCCTGCTAACTGGAAGAACCCTGAAGAGTTCAGGCCTGAGAGGTTCCTTGAGGAGGAGGCTAAGGTCGAGGCCAATGGCAATGATTTCAGGTACATTCCCTTCGGAGTAGGACGGAGGAGCTGCCCTGGGATTATTCTGGCGTTGCCGATACTTGGGATTACTATCGGGCGACTCGTGCAGAACTTTGAATTAATGCCGCCGCCGGGACAGGATAAGCTTGATACTACTGAGAAGGGTGGGCAATTTAGCCTGCACATTTTGAAGCATTCCACCATTGTGGCTAAGCCTAGAGTGTTCTAATTCGTTACCCTGCATTTGTGCTTTTTTTTTACTTGTTTTCTTTTCATCGGTTAAACTTGTGTTACTGGAGTCTCATCCAAAACTTGCCTTGTTGTGTTCTTTGTCTAATTTGTGGAAAGGAACTTTGGATTTATGAAGGGGCGAGACTGTATATTATCATGAAAATGATTATAATAATTACAATGTTGTATCCAAATTATAGAATTGATGTTGCAGAGTGATAATTGTATCTCCATTGTTTATCTATCTCTAATTTGAAATTGATAGTCCAAATGTGCAACTCAAAGTTTTATGACATGGGAATTGGAGACAAATTTATGATTACTACTTTATGTGAAAATATAGAAGAACAAATTGCTGAATGTGTTCGCAATCCTTAGGGTTAAGCCATTCTATAGTCATCTCAGAGATGTTATTCACAAACTTGAGCAAACTCTGGACTCTGGACCTTTAGATTTTCATCTTTCATGGTTTAAAACTAAAATTGTGAAGAGATGACGTAGAGAACTTTGTTGCTCTTCTAGTGTAGTAGGAGGGCAGTAAGTAGCCTAAATGTTATGTGTAACTTCAGAGGCCCCAAATGCTATAAAGCACATATGAGTATAAACCAAAGAATCAAAGGTTAATGGAAATCTACAGCTATTATACTGCTTAACAAGATCAATTCATGACACTAAGTACTGCACTAAGTCGAAAACGTCAAAGTAATAAATCTTAAAACTATGATATAAACTATGGGTTATAAGATCACTTCAAAACCCTGGAACCCAACTTTTTGGTTAAGAGGTGCAGAATCAATTAATAAATACTATGAACGTGTATTCTGTTGTGCGCGGCGGAACCGAAGGACACGAATAAGATAGGAGAACAAATCAACAACTAAACACAAGCACCGCACAAGCAAGACACCAAATTTACGTGGTTCGGCAATGTGCCTACGTCCACGGGGTAAGGAGGGGAAGATTTCACTAATAGAGAGAGAGAGAGAGAGTACAAATAAGGTTTACAATCACTCAATAATCTCACAAAATAACCCTCAAATAAAACTCTCAAAATCCTCACAGAGTCTCCCTTTCTAAGTGCTCAAACAATGCTCAAATCTCAGCTCTTAATCTCTCACATAACCCTAGAAAACGTCATGTTCCTATTTATATCAAATAGAATCCAAAACAGGTCAGGAAAACGAATATGGGCTCAAACCGCATCGTGGTCGACCGGACATGATGTTTCGGTCGACCGGCCAGAAAGTCAAAATTCCACCCTGTAACCCAGCACACCTTCGGTCGACCGCACGGACATGGTCGGTCGACCGGCCAGACGCAGGAATCCAAATCCTGTAATCGTGCACCTTTTTGATCGACCGGACATGTATATTCGGTCGACCGGCCTATGCACTTCAGTCGACCGACCCGTGACTAGTCACGTGCACTCCAAATTTTCTGATATTCTTCGCTGTTTCTACAAATCTCCACCTCGACGAAGTTTTTCCCAAAAACTGAGCCGACCCCAATACCAACCATCCCACTTGTTGCGTCCAGTACGAAGTTGAGTCAATTCACAACAACGGACTTAATCTACAACAAGTCAGAAACCCAATTGAGAACTCTAACAAGGATATCCATCGTGTCGATATCAACTCATCAAATTGGTTGCATCAAACTGACTTCCTATGTATCCTCTTCCCAAGGAATCAAGCCTCACATAGTTCACCCAAACGGCCTCCAAAGGTCCTCAACAACGAAGAATCTTCAACAACTCCAAACAATAACCAAAATTTACCTCAGTGACAACTTTGGTCAACATATCTGTCGGATTGTCTTTTGTGTGGATATTCTCTAATATAATGTCTCCATCATCCAAGACATCTCGCACAAAATAGAATCTGACATCAATGTGGTTTGTTCGGGCATGATACATCTGGTTCTTTGCCAAATAGATAGCTGACATGCTATCACATTTTACCATGATGATATCATGTGCAATCCTCAAGTTATCCAATAACCCCTGCAACCACAAAGCTTCCTTCACAGCTTCAGTCAACGCCATATACTCTGCCTCCGTAGTGGAAAGAGACACTGTAGACTGAAGTGTGCATCTCCAACATACCGGTGCTCCTACTAGTGTAAACACATATCCAGTAATAGACCGGTGCTTATCAAGATCCCTAACATAATCTGAATCCACATATCCAACACATTCCTGCCCATTTCTCCCATTCTTCTCAAATATCAAACCAACATTCACGGTACCTTTGATATACCATAAGATCCACTTCACGGCCTCCTAATGACCCTTCCCAGGATCTTGCATGTACCTAGACACCATGCTAACGGCCTGTGATAAATCTGGCATTGTACACACTATAGCATACATCAAGTTACCCACAATACTAGCATATAGAACTTTAGACATGTATTCGCGGTGCTCAACTGAAACATGTGACATCTTAGCTGATAGCTTAAAGTGGGGAGCTAATGGAGTACTCACTGTCTTGACATTGCCATCAAAACTGAATTTCTTTTCAGCATCTTTTGTAAGTAGCTCCTCTGAGCCAACTTCAATCTCTTCCTCACCTTGTCTCTCTTAATTTTCATATCCAATATCTTCTTTGCTTCTCCAATGTCCTTCATCTCAAATTCGGATGACAACTCCTTTTTCAACTTCCTAATAGCTGAAGTATTCCTGGAAACAATGAGCATATCGTCAACATATAACAACAAATAAATATACTCACCATTATGTAGCTTGTGCATGTACACAAGATAATTATATTTTATTATAATTTTATACTCTCATTATCTATTTTATATGAATAAATATGTCATTAATAATTATTTTTATCTTTAATTGGAGGTTAATGAAGAATAAAGCCTAAGATCTCTTATCTCAACAAAAAATCCATGAATTAAATAAAGAACACAAGCAAGAGCCAAAAAGCCCAAGCCCAGAATCAAGCCGAGTAGCCTGTAGAAGCCGGAGAAAATAAAAAAATTAAATATGAAAAAAAAATGTATTCAAGATAGTTGGCCGCAAAGAAACGACGATATCTCCCAATCTGGAAGGCAGAATTTAACATATAATATATAAAAATCGCCTATCTCGACAAGACGAAGCCAACCGTGAAGTCAGAATTTTTATTGGAGCATCGATGCTAGCATCGATGCGCGCATCGATGCGAAGTCATCCAGAATTCATCAACGGCCGAAATTGCATTCTTGGGGCTCAAGTTTGATCCAAGGGCTCTCATTCACTGATGTTTACTATAAATAGGGGTTGAGAGTGAGGGGTTAGAGGTGTGAAAATTTTTATAGCTCCATTTGAAGAGGAGGGCTACTCTTAATTGAGAAGGCCTTCCAAATTTATAACTTTTGTTATAATTAATAAAATAATTTTTTCACCACTTTAAATTTTTCTTCTCTTTGTTGGATGATGAAGATGAAGATGAAGATTAATTTGAAGTTTTTTCACCACTTTAAATTTTTCTTCTCTTTGTTGGATGATGAAGATGAAGATGAAGATTAATTTGAAGGTTTGTTTTTCTTATTTTCTATTTTATTGCTTATTAGTTTAGATTTATTTCTATGCTTGTAGTTAGATTTTATTTTCTTGTTAAATAGCCAAGAGGCTAAAACCCTCTTGTCTTAGATTTATTTTATGCTTATAGATTAGATTTATTTTATGCTTATAGAGTAGATTTATTTTCTTACATTTAATTCTTATAATTTATTTTGTAGTTTAGATTTTATAATTTATTTTATAGTTAGATTTTAATTTCTTACACTATTCACCTTGAGGCTAGAACCCTCTTGGGTTTAGTTTTTCTTTTTATTTATTTTCATTTTATTTGATTCGCCTTTAGGATAGAATCCTCTAGGGAATCACCCTTTTCTAAGAAGTGGGTTCAATTTTAGATTACTCATATCTTTAATTGAATCCACCATCTTTACTTTCTTGAATTTTATTTTTCATTCTTGATTTTTATTTGTTCTTGTTTTTTCCTTCTTGCCTTGTTGATCACATTTATATTATCACTTCCACTCTCAAATATATTCATTTAGACAATCATTTTCATTCTCTCCATCTCTCCACAATCACATTCACTCATCACTACTATTTATCACGCATACAACATAAGAACCGATTTTATATTTTCTCCTACAAAACACCTTCCTCGTGGGATCGATATCTTTATACTATAACTTGACACGGTTGTGCACTTGTAATATTTTTGGTACATGTTTATGCCGTATCAAGTTTTTGGCGCCGTTGCCGGGGAGGGTGCTTAAGTAGGTTTTAATTATTTTGGTTCTTTAACTTGTGTGTTTATTGTGAAGGAAACACTTGGAGCTTGAAGATCGCGGATTGGAGAAGTAGGATTTGAAGATTTGCTTGTAGGTAACTCTTCTTTCTAGAATTTTTAATTCCACCATTTAGCTACTTCTTCACACTTAGAGACAATTAGGACTTTAAAAAAAAATTATTTTCGTTGACCATAATAAAATTCACCCTCCACTTTGACATTTAGATAATAAATTCAAACGATTTCCCCCTTCTCATTTGTTTGATTGTTAACCCTAATTTAAAAAAAAAAGATTTTTTTTCTTTTCCATCCTTTTTAGGTGCTTTTAATTCATAGAGTTGCGTTTCATATTGTTAGTAGGAATTCACCAAGTGATTTGAGCATCTTGATTTGGCACACACTTAAAAATATTTTTAAGGACAAAACCCCATATTCAAGATAAGGTGAGGGATTTCATCACCCTTCCCTTAGCCCAAAAATCACTAATTCCTCACTACACCACCCAAGCCTAATAAAACTCATTAGACGTTGGCCTTAAGGACTCGAGCTCAATAAGGAACAAGAAACGCTTAAGTGAACCGGTTTAAGTTTTCGCAGATTAGTTGGTGTCTAAGGCAAGGTTTAGGGGTTGCGTAAAGCGCTCCGCAAGGAACGATGTACTTAATTGATCTCTAATCACCCTCTAGTACTATCCTTACCTGGCTAACTACCTGGGTAAAACTTTAATCTTTTCACTGTAGGAGTTTTTGGTTAGGAGCTAGTCTAGTTGAGTTAGGCTAAACCCTAGAGTTAGAGTGATTGAAAAGTGATTGATATGATTTGTTTTAGTTAGGATTTTCCTCTTTTTTCATTCTCTCCTCATTTAAAAAAAACTAACTTTTATAAAAAAAAGTATAAAAAGAAATAGTTTTGGTGTATGCAACCGTAGATTATGG